ACCGGGATATCAGATCCTGAGGAAAGATAGAGCAGAGGGGGAGGAGGGGTTGCACTGCTCATTAAAAACCGATGGAGTTTCGAGGAAATGGACGAGATTGGGGAACATAAGGTAGCCATTGCTGTGATGTATAACCCACCACAGAACTGCAGGAGGCCAAGAGAGGAATATGATGAGAACAACAGAGCGATGGTGAACACATTGTCTGAGGTGGCACAAAGAGCTCAAACGTGCACAGCAAAGTTACTGGTTATGGGTGATTTCAACCACAGGGAAATAGATTGGGAAAACTTGGAACCTCATGGGGGCCCCAAAACATGGAGAGCCAAGATGATGGATTTGGTACTGGAAAACCTCATGCATCAACACATCAGGGACACTGCCAGAGAGCGAGGGGAGGATGAACCAGCAAGACTGGACCTTGTGTTCACCCTGAGTAGCTCAGACATTGATGACATCACATATGAGAGGCCCCTCATAGCTAGTGACCACGTAGTCCTGAGTTTTGATTACATAGTAGAGTTACAGGTGGAGAGGGTAACAGGAGTCGAATGGGAAAAGCCAAACTATAAAAGGGGGGACTACACAGGTATGAGGAACTTCCTGCAGTAGGTGCAGTGGGACAGATAAATGGTAGGAAAGACAGTAAATGAAATGATGGAGTATATCACAACAGAATGCAAGGAGGCAGAGGAAAGGTTTGTTCCCAAGGGCAATAGAAACAATGGGAAGACCAAAGCGAGTCCTTGGTTTACCCAAAGGTGCAGGGAGGCAAAAACTAAGTGCATTAGAGAATGGAAGAGGTATAGAAGGCAAAGGACCCAGGAAAACAAAGATCAATCGAAGAGCCAGAAACAAATATGCACAGATAAGGAGGGAGGCCCAGCGACAGTACGAAAATGACATAGCATCGAAAGCCAAGTCTGACCCGAAACTGCCGTTTAGCCACATTAGGAGAAAGACGACAGTCAAAGACCAGGTGATCAGGCTGAGGAAAGAAGGTGGGGAACTCACAAGAAACGATCAAGAGGTATGCGAGGAGCTCAACAGGAGATTTAAGGAATCAAATCAAATCAAGTTTATTCTCCATAAGGATTACAATGCTGGGTTTACAGAATTTGGATATTGTGTGGTTTACATGTTTTAAAATGCTAATTACAGAGGGGGCCACTAGAACACCTAGCATGGCCAGGCATTTCGGGCAGACTTAGATTAATGCTTAACTTTAAAATATTACAAATTATGAGGTAAGTTGGTATTATGGCTAAGTGACTAAATACTAGTTTGTGAGTTTAGCAATGTGAATGCTTTTGTTTTCACACAATACATAGTTTCAGTATTGGAGTATCACAGGCCAACTTATGACTAGTTAGGATTCATTATTTTAAGATTAAGGTTGATATTTCTGTGTTTATGGTCAAATGGGTGAGGAAGTATTCACAGTGGAGACAGGAAGGACTCTGGCAAGACAGGACAGAGGGGGACACCAACAGGGAATAGACCAACAGGTGCTGGATGATATGCACACAACTGAGGAGGAGGTGAAGAAGCTGATAAGTGACCTTGATACATCATAGGCAATGGGACCGGACAACATCTCCCCGTGGGCCCTCAGGGAGGGAGCAGATATACTGTGTGTGCCATTAACCACAATCTTCAACACATCCCTTGAAACTGGGGAACTACCCGAGGTATGGAAGACCGCAAATGTAGTTCTCAGTGTCACTGACCTGTATAGTATGCAAAGTCATGGAGAAGATTATCAGGAGGAGAGAGGTGGAGCACCTGGAACGGAATAAGATTATAAACGGTAACCAGCACGGATTCATGGAAGGCAAATCCTGTGTCACAAACCTTCTGGAGTTCTATGACAGAGTTACAGAAGTGCGACACGAGAGAGAGGGGTGGGTTGATTGCATTTTCTTGGACTGCAAGAAAGCCTTCGACACAGTTCCTCACAAGAGACTAGTGCAGAAACTAGAGGATCAGGCGCATATAACAGGAAGGGCACTGCAATGGATCAGAGAATACCTGACAGGGAGGCAACAACGAGTCATGGTACGGGATGAGGTGTCACAGTGGGCACCTGTGACGAGCGGGGTCCCACAGGGGTCGGTCCTAGGACCAGTGCTATTTCTGGTATATGTGAATGACATGGTGGAAGGAATAGACTCAGAGGTGTCCCTGTTTGCAGATGATGTGAAGTTAATGAGGAGAATTAAATCAGATGAGGACCAGGCAAGACTTCAAAGAGACCTGGACAGGCTGGACACGTGGTCCAGCAACTGGCTTCTTGAATTCAACCCTGCCAAGTGCAAAGTCATGAAGATCGGAGAAGGGCAAAGAAGACCGCAGACAGAGTATAGACTAGATGGCTAAGGACTACAAACCTCGCTCAAGGAGAAAGATCTTGGGGTGACCATAACACCGAGCATGTCTCCGGAGGCACACATCAACCAGATAACTGCTGCAGCATATGGGCGCCTGGCAAACCTGAGAATAGCGTTCCGATACCTTAGTAAGGAATCATTCAAGACACTGTACACTGTGTACATCAGGCCCATACTAGAGTATGCAGCTCCAGTTTGGAACCCACACCTGGGCAAACACGTCAAGAAATTAGAGAAAGTGCAAAGGTTTGCAACAAGGCTAGTTCCCGAGCTCGGGTATGTCCTACGAAGAAAGGTTGAGGGAAATCGGACTGACGACATTGGAGGACAGGCGGGTCAGGGGAGACATGATAACGACATACAAAATACTGCGTGGAATAGATAAGGTAGACAGAGACAGGTTGTTCCAGAGAGGGGACACGAAACAAGGGGTCACAATTGGAAGCTGAAGACTCGGACGAGTCATAGGGATGTTAGGAAGTATACGTATTTCTTCAGTCATAGAGTCGTCAGGAAGTGGAATAGCCTAACAAGTGATGTAGTGGAGGCAGGAACCATACATAGCTTTAAGACAAGGTATAAGAACATAAGAATGGAGGAACACTGCAGAAGATCTACTGGCCCATGCGAGGGAGGCCCTTATCAAAACGACCTCTACTTAAAGCTACCCAAGAAATAACTCCCGTACCCAATGACACCAATCAAACCCAGCCCCTCCCACTCATATATTTGTCCAGTCTCTTCTTAAAGCTACCCAAGGTCCTAGCCTCTATCACCCCACTGGGAAGACTGTTCCACACATCTACAACTCTGTTAGAAAACTAGTACTTACCTATGTCCTTTCTAAATCTAAATTTATCCAACTTATGACAAAGCTCTGGAAGCAGAGAGAGGACCTAGGAGCGATCAGTGAAGAGGTGAGGCCAGGAGCTGAGTCTCGACTCCTGCAACCACAATTAGGTGAGTACACACATCCCCCCCCACACACACATATACACGGGGCCAGGAGCTGAGTCTCGACCCCTGCAACCACAATTAGGTGAGTACACACATCCCCCCACACACACATATACACATCCCCCCCACACACATATACACATCCCCCCCACTCATATGCACATCCCCCCACACACATATAAACATCCCCCCCACACACACATATAAACATCCCCCACACACATATACACATCCCCCTCCCACATATACACATCCCCCTCCCACACACACACATACACTCCTTGGCCCTCGCATCCAGGTTTGGCGTTATTTATCCTATTCATTCTCTTAAAAGTATCTGCCTGTTTTCTTTTCCTTCCATCTCAAACATCGTGTTGGTGTCCTGTATCTTTTGCTCTTATGAGTATTTTTGTATTTCATTACTAGAGATGACTGGTTCTCCTCTCTTTTAGAATTATCGATGTAAGTTTGTCTCCTCATAGTCCATCACCTTGTTCTTGACACTGGATCAACTTTTGATGAGGCTTCAGGAGCCTCTTCTTTATAGAATAGTTTATTTTTAGTACAGTTCTGTGTTTAGAAGTGTATATCATATAGTGAAGATGGAGCTAGCTGTGGGTAACAGTTTTCATTGGATCACCTGACTTGATTTTTCTAATGTTAAAATGTTGAGCAACTGTGATGCAGAGGTATTATTGGTTTTAAAAAAAAGATGTGAGAAAACGCTAGGACTTATTGTTTAGAAGATGTTTACAAGCACACCTCCAGAGAATCTCCTGAGTCGCTCTGGCACTCGGGTTGTGGCCCGAGTGGTAGGAATGGTTCAAATGGAGCAGTGATTTTGAGATCTAAAACCTCATACCAGTGAGACCACTGGCCCTGACACATGTGAACCGAAGACATGCTGTACCCTAGCTACAGGGCATGGACGACGATTGTAATTAACTGCTACACCACTTGTGCTTAAGAAGATTCACCATGGCCTTCATAGAGCTGTAAGCAGTACTCCATTTGACCTGAAGAAGACTCACCGTGCCCTTGACATAGAGCTGTAAGGGTAATCCACTCGATACGAATGCTTACTCTGCCCCTGCCATAGGGCTGTAAATGGTATACCTGAAGTATACCTCGAGAGGGTTTTGGGGGTCAATGCCCCTGTGGCCCGGTCTGAGACCAGTTCTCGTGGTGGATCAGGGTCTGATCAACCAGGTTGTTACTGCTGGCCTCACGCAAACTGATGTACAAACCACAGCCTGGCTGGTCAGGTATTGACTTCAGGTGCCTGTCCAGTGCCTTCTTGAAGACAGGCCAGGGGTCTATTGGTAATCCCCCTTATGTATGTATGCTCATATCCAGGAGCAAAACACCGACCGAGCGACGGCTCATATCCTGAAAAACTTGCATGGTGGGGCACTCGTAAGCAGAGGTTCCACTGTATTTGTACTTCAGTATTTTTATTTTTATAAAGAGGAAAAATGTTGGTACAATTTACATAAACTGTTTTAACATATTGCACATTATTTAAATTTTAATGGAAAGTTGGATTTTTAAATACACTGGTTATGTTGTACGTATTTTTAATTTAGATTCAGAACTAGGTTTTATTCTGTCATAATGCATTTGAATACAATATCAACAGGGGCTTCTTTTCAGGCATTCCACTTGCGTGACATCAGATGTGAACGGCCAAGGTTTCTCAGTAAATCTTTCTGCGGTTTCCTGACATTCAACATCGTCACATATTCCCTCCTGGTGGCAGAAATTCTGCTTACCCGGGACACTCAAACTCAAGAGGAGAGGGTTAGTCTTAAAACTTTTTTTTTCCTAGTTACAGTTTTTGGGTCATTCGATAATTATAAATATATTTCCTACAACATATCCTCTATTAATTTGTTAACTTCATAAGTATGTTTTATACGTACAGTATTGCAGATAAGAAGCAGTCTTCCATTAAATGTTATATTTTTACATTATCTGTCAAGGACAGATAGATTGTCAGTCAGGGTATTGTCAGTCACACTTTGGTTGGTTAATTGCTTTAGGAATACTTGTTCAGCCTTTGAAAGGGATGACAGTTTTCCTCATATATTTTGGTAAGAGGTCATCTTCATGTTATTAAAAGGTCCAAATACAGTACTGTACTTTAAAGTGTGTGTGTGCTTTCACCTATTTGTGGTTGAAAGGGTTGATGAACAGCTCCTGGCCCTGCCAGGAGTGTGTGTGTATGTATTTGCAGGAGTCTAGACCTAACTATAGCTCCTGGCTCTGCCACCTAGACAACTTCCATGGGCATCACTAACTTGTGGCCTCTTTGGCTAAACTTGATGCTGCCTTCAGCCCAGCCCTCTTTTTCTTGTTTATCTCCATAACTCTGTCATGAAACTCGAGCAGATTTGTAAGATAGGATTTGCCATCCCTAAAGTCCAGCTGGTTTTATGTAAAGAAAATGCTTCTCTCCAACTGCTCCAATATCCTTTTTCTTACTATCTTCTCCAGATTTTTTGACAGTATGCATGTTGGAGATACTGGACTGTAGGTTGGTGCCTCTTGTCATCCTTTCTATATATATAGGGGGTCATACTTTTTTTTCTGATTTCCTTGCACTTGTCCTGGAAATTTTTGGTTGAAAATTTTTGCTCTTGGACCATATAGTGGTGCTGCTCCTCCTCCTCAGCACCTATGAAAATATGTTATCTGGTCCTATTCTCATTGTTACATCAGGCTCAATTAGAAGTTTTATCATTTCTTCTCTTGTGCTGGTCCTTTCTAACATCTGTTGATCTAGTTTGACAACAACACATTTTGGTTTCTCGTCATTTTCTTCCATAAAGACCTCCTTGAATCTTTTGCTAAGTTATTGGCATACCTCTCTTATTCTTCCTCAGTATCCCACTATTCTTCTTCATTCTTATCACTTGGCCCTTCACAGTTGTAATTTTTCTTATGCGGCTGTGGAATAATTTTAGTTATGTTTTGGCCTTTTATACTCTGTCATTTTTCAAATTAACTTTTGGCTTCTCTTCTTATTCTTGTGTATATTCATTTCTGGTTCTCTTGTGTGTGTTTCCCAGTTTTCTGCAGTTTGATTTACTCTAATATTTCTTCCAAATCCTCTTTCTTCTTTCCTTAGCCTTTCTACATTTTTGATTGAACTATGGGATTTCTGTTCTTTTCTTCCCGTTTGGTACAGCTCTCTTATTTGCCTCATGGCACTTTGTCTCTGCTACCTCCATCCTTTTTTTTTTAAACATCTTTGCCCTCCATTTTTCTTTCCCATTGCAACTTAGAGTTTATCAAAACTTAATATCACATGATAGTTGGCACCTAAGTGGTTTCACATAAGTAATTGCAGCTGTGTCATAATAATTTGTGTAAAAACCAGGTTGAGTCTTGCTAGCTCGTATCCTCCCCTAACTCTTGTTTCTTCCAGAGGTTTCAAAAAATTCTGCATTACTGCTTCCATGAGTTTCTGGTCCTTTATGGGGTCTTAATTTTTCCCAGACAGTCTTCTTGTGGTTGTAATCTTCCAGTACTAGTAGTTTAACTTTATAAATAATAAAAAGGAAATGATTAATTTTATTTCTGCAATGTATGGTTCACACGTGGTTCATTAAGAATGACAACACTGACAGACTTAATGAAAAGCCCTTGCGTGCATGCATTCATGAGTGTGGGCGCATGTGCACAATTTCTCTGTAATAATACAAAAGATTTTATAAAAGAATGGGGGTTGTCAGAAAACACATATGATGGGTAATTGAAGTTACATATTGTTAAGGATCTTTATTCCATTTTTCACTTAGAATGTGAATAATAATAAGTAAATTCATTTTTTTTTTTTTTTGAGGTGTTTATTCCACCTGTATTAGTTTGAAATATAACAATGTAGATCACACACACAATATATTTTTGTTGTGTTATTTGCTTTATCTTTTACAGAGTTTCTTAAGTCATGTGTTCAATGGCTGCTATGCTGTCTTGCTGTTCATAGTAGTTGTATTCTTCCTAATATATGGAGTTGAAGTATACTTTAAGGTAAATACTTGTTAGTTTGTTCACCCAAGCTTTACTCTAGTCTTTAAAGATGCTGACAATTTGTTATCTCACCATTATGAATAGAATTCTGCTGTACTTTATATTGTATCTTATGAAATGACACTTCGTGCATACCTATTTGTCTACAGTATGGAGTTAGACTTGTAAGAAGTAGTCTGCAGACCTTGTAGATTACATGTCATTTACAGTAGTACTTGGGAAATGTAAAGGAACTCTGCATCAGTGACCTTTAATAATAAATATTTATTAATACAAAATTATGGCACATTTGTTAAGAATTTTGATAAGAGATGAGGTACAGTATTTTTTTTTTTTTTATGAAGCCTAAGGTATGCATAGCATTTTAGGTAAAACCAGCTCAAATAAACAATAGACATTTATATGACAACACCACTTGGCCATATATAGTATTTAATGGGATGTAAAATAGTGTGGAGATAACTATAAATGTTACAGTCTTACAAAATTTAAATTTATTCTAAAAATAATTAATAATAATAATAATTATTATTATTATTATTAAAAAGCATTTTTCATAACATTTCCTCATAATACTGAGAGTTAACAATCTTGGAAAACACAGTGGAACCTTGACTTACGAGTGTCTCAATGTACGAGTTTTTTGAGATATGAGCCGTTGCTCGGTTGATTTTTTGCTCTGAGTTACGAGCCAACATCTGAGTTATGAGCCAACATCTGAGTTACAAGCCAGCTTCCCCCTCAAACCAAAACCTGCACACTTCTCTTGTTTATCTATGATTTCGTGCTTTAATTCCATGGAAATCATCCTCTTTTTCTTCTAAGCACTGTCCTTTACACTTACTTTCTTAGGACCCATGCTTAGAAAAATCAAATTTGGCCAAATGACTAAAAAATGTAAGCAAAGCATGAGAGAAATACTCCCACACCGAGGTAAACAGTGCACTGAGTTGGTGAAGTTCTGAAGCTCTCATTATTATTATTATTATTATTATTATTATTATTATTAGTATTATTATTATTATTATTATTATTATTATTATTATTATAATGAGTGAGCTTCAGTTCCCTAAATTAATAATAATAATGTGATAATAATTATAATGATAATAATACTAATACGTAATAATAATAATACATAATACGTAATAATAATTCAGAATGCTGCCACTAGTTGACGCAGCCGATGGCAAAACATCCGGTAAGGAGTCGTCCACATGTTTACATCGCCATGGGAGCATTTCTCTCATGCTTGCTTGCATTTTTTTTACAGTCATTTGGCCAAATTACTTTTTTCTAACCATGGATCCTAAGAAAAAAAGTGCAAAGGACAGTGCTGAGAAGAAAAAGAGGATGATTTCCATGGAATTAAATCAAATTGTATCAGTTAAGTTCAACAATCAAACAAAACAAATTGTATCATCACTCATCATATTATGGCCTATTTTATTCATTCTAAAGTATATATCATGTTTCTCTGTTAATTATATTGTTTATTATGTCATATTAGATGAATTGTGATAGATAAATAAGCCGTAGAGCTGTTATATTGAAATATATTTTGTCCTACCGCTGGGTTGGATTAATGGCATTTCAAGTTAATTTAAATGAGGAAAATTGATTTGATATACGAGCAAATTGAGTTATGAGGTAGGTCACGGAACGGATTAAACTCGTAAGTCAAGGTTCCACTGTATAGTACAATTTGACTATCACTATCACTAACTACCTCATGCTACCTTTAAAATACCCTGTAAATCAGTACAAGTTGGTTAACCCTTTCACTGTCGTGACCCCTACTTGCAAACTTGCTCCCAGTGCCAAAGAATAAAAAAAAAAAATAATTTATCTTATGAAATGATAGAGAATCTTTTTTCGAAGGTAATGAAACCAAAGGTACACAGTTTGATGGAAAACTTATGGAATTATGCTCTCGCAAAGTTAGCGGTCTCAGAGATATTTATTCATTGGCAATTTCGCCCACTTTACACCCTACTTTTGGCCAATTCCATTGTTCCAGCCCCCCAAACTCATAAGTATTTCGCTAGTATTCCTTCTGTTCTGTCGATTGAGTACAAGAAACCTATTTACCTATTTCAACTAACCAGAAATCAGTGATTTGGCCAATTTAACACAAATTTCAAGAGATTCCAATTTCAAAATAGTGTCCAGAATAAACAATGCAGACATTCCTGGCACTGAAATAACATTTTTTCTTGTTCATTAGTCATGTCTCCAGGCCCCATTTATATTACGCTTGCTTTCCCTTCTGAATTTTTTTCATACAAAAAAAATAGATTTACTGTTATGCAGACTACTGCATTATTGTAACAGTTGTATAAATAATGTCAACCCATTTGTGACCGCATATTAGACTGGCAAGTTGGACATGTATTGGAAACGTGACATGATTTGTTTCCTCTTGAACGTTGGCAAAAATCGAACATTTCTGCTACGTTGAGGTCAATTTCAAGGTACTTTCTGTTCTTAAAGCAATCAAAATCATCTCTATTTCTGTAATATGTATATCTTCCATTCTGTCAAATAATACCAAAAAACTGAGAATACAACCATAAAAACCATATGAAAATACACCGCAAAGTCTCTGTTTTACACCAAAAACACAGTCGCAGTTTTTTTCTCATGCACTGTGTACTGCAGGATTTTTATATAGTGCACACTTACCACACGAATGTATTCTCTCATATCTAGGCCAAAATTTACCGTTCACAGCTTATCTGAGTGAGCTGAGCTCATAGCGTCGTACTGCAGGACTGGCAGTGGCTTCAAAGTCGTGATACAATGGGACCAACAATGAAAGGATTAATAAAGTTAACCAATTTGACTTACATAAGAAGGTTTATCGCTGCCACTTCCAAAGTGAAGAGCTGAAATTTACAACTCAACATCTTCACTTACACGTAGCCTAAACTACTTCATCAGAACTTGATCTAATTCAGAACTTTTTCCTTCCTTCATTATTTTCCTTTTACACATCTGTTTCTTTGAATCATTGTTAGCAATAAACTGAGTAATTTTTCTTTCTGTTTCTTTATATCATAAACTGTGGAAGAGCCAGTGCCGTATATTTCACACAAGCTTCTCACCTCTGTCGAGTTTTTTTAGAAGTTCAACCTTATCTTTTATGGACAATGTATGGTGTTTGCGAGAAGCATTTCCTTTATTCATTGGAACCTTGTCTGGGGGGTTAAAGTGAGCAGGTTATAACAATAAATGGAGAAAAACAAATTGCAGTGGCTAGACTATGTTTGCAAGTTACATCAACAGTTGTTTATGCAGCAATTACAGCAAGTTGGTGAGGCAACCCCGTAAATTTGAAATTACACTAGCCAAAATTAGTGCCAGATTAGTGATGGAACCGGATTAATGATTGCCGGGTTAGTGATGGCTGACCTGTACTTAACCCTTAACCCTTTCAGGGTCCAAGGCCCAAATCTGAAGTGGTGCCCCAGTGTCCAAGAATTTTCAAAAAAAAAAATTTGTTATTTTTTCTTATGAAATGGTAAAGAATCCTTTTGTGAAGGTAATAAAACAAAAAGTACGAAATTTGATGGAAAATTGATGAAATTATGCTCTCGCGAATTTTGATGTGTCAGCGATATTTACGAATCAGCAATTTTGCCGACTTTGACTCCCATTTTAGGCCAATTACATTATTCCAGTCAACCAAATTCTTAGCTATTTCACTAGTATTACTTCTATTCTATCGATTGAGCACAAGAAATCAGCAAGTCAACTGTTTCAACTACAAATTAAAGTGATCGGAAATTGTTAATTTGGCCAATTTAACACAAAGTTCAAAATATTCCAATTTCAAAATAGGGTCCAGAATAAACAATGTAGGTATTCCTGGAACTAAACTAACATTTCCTCTGTTCATTAGTTATGTTTTGAGGCTTAACAAATAAATTCCATTTTGATTTCTTATTCACATAATGAATTTTTATTCACACCAAAAAATTTAAGATTTACTGTTATGCAATACTGTAATAATTGTATAAATATCATCACCATATTTGTGAATGCATATTAGACCCACCAGCTGGCGTGTATTAGACGTGTGAGGTCGTTTGTTTACTCTTGAATATCGGCAAAAATTTAACATTTCTGCTATTTTGAGCTCAGTTTCAAGCCATTTCCAGTGCTAAAACCAATCAAAATCATCTCGATTTCTGTAATATGTCTTCCATTCTATCAATTGAGACCAAGAAATCGCAAATACAACTATAAAAAACATACGAAAAAACACTGCAAAGTCGCTGTTTTAATCGAAAAATCATGATTTCAGTTTTTTTCTCTCATACACAGTGTGCTGCAGGATCTGTTTTATGTGGTGCACACATACCACATAGATGTATTCTCTCATATCTAGGCCCAAATGTACCACTCACAGTTTATCAGAGTGAGCTGAGCTCATGACGTAGATCTACGGTTTGGACCCTGAACGTAAAGCCGTAGATCTACGGGACAGACCCTGAAAGGGTTAAATGGTCCAAACGTATATATACGTTCTCTCTCGTAGCGCCCCAAATTTTTTGAGGAAAAAAAAAAAACATTTTTTTTAATAGGACAAAAGAGCATATGGTACCCAGGCATCCCCAATTATTTTAATATGGTGCACAGTGAGTGCGCACACCCATTCTCTCATGTCTAGGCGACTCAGGCTTGTCGTGGCAATGTTGAATGAATGACAAAGAAAACATATATATACGTTTGCGGCGCTATGCGAGAGAACGTATATATACGTTTGGACCGTTTAAGGGCTAAATATGTTGATCTAAATTAAGTATTTAAACAGTGGCATGTGGTCAGAGTATGGGTGCCAAACTGAACAGTTGATTTAAGTGAATAGGGCATAAAAAGAGAAGAACCAAAAAAAAAAAAAAAAATCCACTGCACAGAGTAGGGATGTGTCGAAGTATCAGCTTTCAATAGATATTGGATAATTTTGATGGTATCAGTATCAGCCTAAAATTAAGTATTGGTATCAGTGGATATCTGCTAATTTTCATGGTAATAATTTGTACTGGTGGGTATGGGTTATTTTTTTAAATCAGTTTTGACAAAAATTTTGGTATCTCCTCTACTAGTACAGTATATATTACAGTATTCTTAGAGAAATGAACAGATCATTTAGTCTGCGTTATGCCTATTTAAACAAATGTAAAATTCTTATTAACCCATTCACTGTCTGTCATTTAGAACTACATCATCGAGGCCAGGGTCTGTGACAAAGTTCCGTCATGAGCTCAGCTCACTCAGATAGGCTGTGAGGGGAAAATTTGGGCCTAATTATGATCTGGGTCTGTGTGATGAGTGTGCACAGTAAAAAAAATCCTGCTTTACTCAGTGCATGATGGAAAAAACAAAACTGTGATTGTGTGTATGGTTTAAAATAGTAACTTTTAGGTGTTTCCTGGGATGTTTTTTATAGTTTCACTGGCTGCTTCTTGGTATCATTTGCTTGAATGGAAGACATACTACTGAAATAGAGATGATTTTGATTGGTTTCAGGACTGGAAGTAGCTTGAAACCGAGCTCAAAGTAACGGAAATGTTTGATTTTTGCTGATATTCCAGAGGACGGGCAAAGACCCTCTACAACCCTAGTCTTCTTTATGGGTTATTAATAGGTCTGATTAAATTGTTAGAATGCTGTAAACCATGACCAGTTTTTCCTGATTATGTTTTATTATCCGAGAAATAGAGTAAATCTTCTGTTTTTGTGTGAATAAGAATTCAAAGTGGAAGGCAAGTGTAATATAGAAGAAGCCTGGGGATGTGACTGATGAACAGAGGAAATGTTTTAATGCCAACAATGTGTACATTGTTTATTATGGACTCTTATTTTTTAATTGGTATTTTTTTAATTTTGTCAACATTAACCAAATCACTGACTTCTGTGCACTTTATAGGGTAGTTGCAATAGTTGAATAGTTGTGGTTAATTGATTGAATGAAAGGCATACTAGCAAAATAGCTGAGAATTTGGTCAGAAGAAAAGATAGAAATGGTTTAAAATAAGACTTAGTGGGCAAAATCACTGATGCATAAATTGCACCAAGATCATAAATGTAATTCTGTAAGTTTTCCATCAATTTTTTTTTAAAAAGTGGACATTGAGAGCAATATTGTTTTCAAGGGTCTGGACAGTGAAAGGGTTAAAAATACAGTAGCTGAATAAGAAACTGAAAGATATTTATAAATTGCCTTAGATAAATTTTCAAAAATATATACAGTATTACTGATGTAGTAACACAATCATCTGAGAACAGTCAGAACTCAGCATTGTTGATTAGTTGTAATAAAAGGATACTTTAAGAGGGGCATCTTTAAAAGATGTCACGGTTCCAGGCAAAAAATATCTATGACCAAGACATACTGTTTTAAATGTTATCATAAATATTAGATTCTACTTTACCATAATAATACTGTAGTGTAACACACATCATACTTGCCAAATCTAGGTACATGCCATGCTGTATGAGGAAATGTAATAGAATTTTTATTTATTTTTGAGAAGACAAGTGATAATGATGTTACAAAGTTTTTGTACATATATAGGGCTACATCAGTTGAAGCTTTTGTGTTATATGTAGATATTGTTAGTGCACATTAAAAAACTGATTCCTAAATATGAAAAATGTGTCTGATTCATTACAGTAGTGTGTTGAACTATAATTTAGGTATTGTTGCTTAAGCCTTTGTGAACTGTGAACTGTGCTGTCATTGATGTGGGCTTTTGTATTGTAGGTACGTGGGGGCTTCGTGAGTGACACCATTATTGTGGGGAACGTCCATTCCCGAACCCCTCCCCAGGATCACCACCTTCCTCCCCTTCTTGACACTAATGATACAGATTCCCCACCATCTTCATCCTCATCCTCCTCTTCCCTTGATCCTCCTGCTTCACCTTCCCCAAAGAAGTCTGCTTCTAAATCAGCATCATCTATGCTCAAACCTTCTAGGAGAGCAAGAGCAGGACCCATCCACCCAATGCCTTGTAGCAGACCAGGTGTGTTTGAAGTTCAGCTTACTGTGCACTTTTTAGATGCATCATGTAGATTTCAACACACAGGTGTTCAAATAGATAACCTTGGAAGTTTTATGAGATATCAACTTGTACAGATTCTAAATGAAAAAAAAAAGTTAATTTTTAACTATGTGGACTTAGTGATATCTCTGCATACATTATATTAGGTTAACCTAGCCTAATTAATTTAACCAAGTATAAGAAGTTAACACTAATGTAAAAATGCATGATGTTGAGACTATGGTTTTGATGATTGACCATATTTGTGGGAATCACAGAGAAGATGAAACAATAAATAATTCCACAGAATCATGTTTTAGTGTCAGTGTTGCTTTTCCCAAAGTCTTAAATTATAGTAAAAAAACATAATTTTCTTAGGAGGATAAGCTAGAGATTGAGATGCATTACCCAGTAATTTTATAGAAATTAATGTTTAAATATACTGTGCTTGTCTTGGTAATTTCACTTGATCTTATGCTAAATATGTATGTGAATTTGTAACTTGCAAGATATTTAGTTATGTCATGTAGATTGTATATTTCTTTGTTCATTTAAGTTATGCTTGTGTCTAATTACCCTGTGTTTTTCTAATTTCATTAAATTATTCCTAATACGGTAGACTCCTGGTTTTCGTAATTAATCCGTTCCAGAAGGTTGGCCAAAATCCGAAATGGCTGAAAACCGAAGTAATATTTGCTATAAGAAATAATGTAAATCTAATTAATCCGTTCAGACACCCAAAAATATGAACAAAATATACATTTTATAGAGAATAACTATAGTTTTACATACAGAAATCAATGAGAAATAAATATAAATGACTAATTTGAATGATAAATGAACATTACATACCTTTATTGAAGACTCATGTTGGTGAGTAGTAGTTATTTGTAGTCCCAGGGGGACTACACCCAAGGTGTATACCTACCGCCTACATACACTGCAGCCTACAGCCATATTATTACCATCGACTTACCATGTTCACTGAGTTTAATCATTTCTAACAACTACCTTTAGATGCCATCATAAACAAAGGGAGAAGTAATGAATAATTCATGCTGAGAATTGTAAACAAACGCTTATGTATAAAGGGTGGTTACTGGGCCAGTGCAGATTCATACAGTTTTCTCTGATGCTGGACTAGAGAAAACGTAATGTTTACCCTCCACCGCATGTAAACATTACATAATTTTGAAGAAAATATCATAGATGGATTAATGAAAATGTCTACATTAACGTAAAATAAGACATTTACTGTGCCCAAGAATGATTATTATTACGTACTATTACTATTGCTATGGCGTTAAGACTAGTGGGACACACTGTGTGAACAAGTAACAAAGGCATGTTTATATGCTATGTAACATGTTTCATACATAATTTTGAAGAAAATGTCATAGATGGATTAATGAAAATGTCTACATTAATGTAAAATAAGACATTTAATGTGCCCAAAAGTGAGTCACGAACGTATGAGCGGCCCAGGCAGATGCGTCTGGTACCAACAATTTCTGAGGGGATGTACGAAACCCAGGGGGAAATTTTGCCGAAAAAAGTGCTCGAAATCCGAATTGTACAATTTCTGCACTGGCCGAAAACCGGGAGCCCACTGTATATATTTCTGTAGTAATATATACAAATACTTTGTAATGCCACCACTCAATAATTTATAATTACATGTATCAAGTTACAGGTGGTTGGGGAGTTCACTGGTGAAGCTCCTCCACACAGAGGCATTGATCAGTCACAGTTACATCAGTCCCGATTTGGGCTGGTTTTTCAAGCTTGTATGCTGATGATAACCGTCTGCTTCCTATTTTCTGATGTGCTGGGAGGATTTTGGAAAAATAGGTAGGAAGAAAATGGCAAAAAATAATTTTTCCTTATGTAAGCATTCATTTTTGTTTGCATTCTCTGTAACAGCTAGTATAGTATGTACTAATAAAAGTATCTTTTATTAAGGCCTTAGACAAGGATGTGTGATGTCACCGTGGTTGTTTAATATATTTATAGATGGGGTTGTAAGAGAAGTAAATGCGAGGGTCTTGGCAAGAGGCGTGGAGTTAAAAGATAAAGAATCACACACAAAGTGGGAGTTGTCACAGCTGCTCTTTGCTGATGACACTGTGCTCTTGGGAGATTCTGAAGAGAAGTTGCAGAGATTGGTGGATGAATTTGGTAGGGTGTGCAAAAGAAGAAAATTAAAGGTGAATACAGGAAAGAGTAAGGTTATGAGGATAACAAAAAGATTAGGTGATGAAAGATTGAATATCAGATTGGAGGGAGAGAGTATGGAGGAGGTGAACGTATTCAGATATTTGGGAGTGGACGTGTCAGCGGATGGGTCTATGAAAGATGAGGTGAATCATAGAATTGATGAGGGAAAAAGAGTGAGTGGTGCACTTAGGAGTCTGTGGAGACAAAGAACTTTGTCCTTGGAGGCAAAGAGGGGAATGTATGAGAGTATAGTTTTTACCAACGCTCTTATATGGGTGTGAAGCGTGGGTGATGAATGTTGCAGCGAGGAGAAGGCTGGAGGCAGTGGAGATGTCATGTCTGAGGGCAATGTGTGGTGTGAATATAATGCAGAGAATTCGTAGTTTGGAAGTTAGGAGGAGGTGCGGGATTACCAAAACTGTTGTCCAGAGGGCTGAGGAAGGGTTGTTGAGGTGGTTCGGACATGTAGAGAGAATGGAGCGAAACAGAATGACTTCAAGAGTGTATCAGTCTGTAGTGGAAGGAAGGCGGGGTAGGGGTCGGCCTAGGAAGGGTTGGAGGGAGGGGGTAAAGGAGGTTTTGTGTGCAAGGGGCTTGGACTTCCAGCAGGCATGCGTGAGCGTGTTTGATAGGAGTGAATGGAGACAAATGGTTTTTAATACTTGACGTGCTGTTGGAGTGTGAGCAAAGTAACATTTATGAAGGGATTCAGGGAAACCGGCAGGCCGGACTTGAGTCCTGGAGATGGGAAGTACAGTGCCTGCACTCTGAAGGAGGGGTGTTAATGTTGCAGTTTAAAAACTGTAGTGTAAAGCACCCTTCTGGCAAGACAGTGATGGAGTGAATGATGGTGAAAGTTTTTCTTTTTCGGGCCACCCTGCCTTGGTGGGAATCGGCCGGTGTGATAATAAAAAAAAATAAATAAAAAATTAAGGCTGTGTAAGCAGTAATAAGAGTGAAAAGTATTTTTTTTATGTAACGATACAAATGTAAGAGAAAATGTAGCCCTTCAGTACTAATGTAGGGCACTTTTATTTGTGAGAGAGAAAGAGAGATAGGGATAGTAAAGTTTACAAGCAATGGTATATCACAAGTTTGTGGTGGTAATATTTTAATTCATAATTTGCATTTTACAATTGGCTCTTAAAAGTTTGCGTTAGTAATGTTTAATTTTTTCATTGCCAGTCTCTGTTTTGTAATAAAGTTGGTAGAATTACCGACAATATGTAAAGTAAAAGGACACAAGTGCAACTAATGTGACATTTATTGTGGCAACGTTTCGCTCTCCAGGAGCTTTATCAAGCCATTGAATGGCTTGATAAAGCTCCTGGAGAGCGAAACGTTGCCACAATAAATGTCACATTAGTTGCACTTGTGTCCTTTTACTTTACAGTCTCTGTTTTACAGAGGCTGGTCTTGAATGATACCAGTCCACTACATAGAGTATTTGTTTATAAATGTAGTTATATTAGTGATAACTTACATTTGTGCATATTTCATGCAGTAATTTATGTTTTTCCACAGAGTTCCACTTATGTCAAGAAATGCTTATGACATCATCTTTCGTGTGGTGGAGCTTGGGGTGGCTTTGTGGTTTCCGTGTGTCTTGTGGAATTGCATGTCACCAGAGCAGTTATGGATCCTTAATCCTAAAAAAATTCTCAAGAGGCTCGATATTGATCGATCACTGGAGCTTGGACAACCTGTCCCACATACCAGTAAGAATTTTAATCACTCTTTCTTTTTCAGTTTCAAATTATGGTCTTTTTGTAGTTTATTATAAAATTATTAATTTGCAATAAAGATGTTATGTTAGGCAAATTATTAAATTAAAGAATGTATGTTTTAGAGAAAAGTGGATTGAAGTAGATAATGTTCTTGGAGGTGAGATGAGTGTAGAGAAAAGGGAGATTGTGGGAGGTGATGTTGAGCAGAGTGAGAGAATTAATTTCAGTGTATAGTAAATAAAAGTGGGTGATCTTTAATTAGTTTACACTTACAAACATGTGTTGCAATAAGAAACATGTTTCTAGACAAAATAATATACAAGGCATCGTAAAGTACACAAAAAAGCAGTCTGCTGGGATCTTAGTGGATAAAAGGTTGAGGAGCAACTGGTATGTCTAATAATAATTTAATGGTAACTAAAGCAAGAGGAAGGTGAAGTCAGTAGGTAAAAAAGGTTAATGAAAGTGAAGGAATTAAAGAAAAGCATGAGTTTGTGAGTGGTACAAGCAGTTGTTGAAAGAAAGGTTGGCTAACAGTGGAATAGTGATGATGTCAGGAAGGTGTATGAATTTAAGCATGCAGTGCTAGTGTGCAGCTTGGACTTGTATAGGAAAAGCAAATAAAAGAACGTGTATGGCATTATCAGGGAATGAAGCCTGGAATACTGTATATCAGAAAGAGTGAAAATTTTCAGGTAAAAGTAGGCCTTAGGCGTGGTAGATGTTTAATAATAGGACATTATTTGTAAACAAAACCTCTATTTTAAAGAAACATTTTGCTCACAAAGAGGCCTTACCAAGTCAGTACATGGCACATACAGCTGTACAGTAGTGGATGATAAAGTGGTGACATTGCCAGGTTCCTGAGTCACCTATACAGTGTGTTTCAGAAATTTTTCAAGATGAGTTTAGCTAAAGATTTTTTGATGCTACATACTCCATGGTTCTGTTTGATGGTATTGAAAGTTTATGTGTGTGTGTGTGTGTGCGTGTGTGCGTGTGTGCGTGTGTGCGTGTGTATGTGTGTGCTTGCATGTGTGCCTGCGAGCATGCATACGCGTGCGCGCACACACACACACAACACACACACATGCATGCAGCCTGTAAATGGCTTTTATAATAATCATTTCAGCTGTTGTCCTGTCCATTAGGTGTGCCTTATTTTCTATGAATAATGTAAGTGTTGTTCTTGGTATGTGTCTTTCAGGAATATTTGTGTCCGAGGACACTCATGTTATGACTTCTTGTAGTCACACCAATGTATACTCTGTTGTACCCACTGAAAGGAATTCTGTAGATGTGTGCTTCAGTACTGGTATGGCTGCAGGTTGTGAGTTTGGTAATATTATGAATGTTTTTGGAGGTGACAACTGTAGTGTAGTCCCTCTTGTGGAGGGTATTTTGAAATTTAGTTAACTGCATTACCAGTTGGAAAGATGAATCACTGTTTATTTGCTGTGTTGTCACTTTTCAGATTTTAAAGAAGGTTTTGTCCTTTGCATAGTTTCTTTGTGACAATTGAAGGTGAAATATGTAATAATTTTAAGTTTCATGAGGGTATTGTTGACTGCATTACATTTCGCACCAAGAAATTTTAGAGAATGCTTAGTGCGGTTATCATGGCAGGAGAAGCTTCAGGGTGTGTTTGATTTTAAGGATTTTGATATCTAAGAAAAGGAGAGAGTGGTCTTGTTCTTTCTCTAAAGTGAATGGGATTGATGGTTCCATACCTCCAAGAATGCCCTGCCTTCTGGACACCTTACCTTACCTACTTTATATCCCTTATGTCCATGCACTGTATTGTTTGTAATGCCTTGAGGAAGTTAGTGAATGAAATATGACCATAGTAAATGTCTTATTAGTTGCACGTTTACCTAACATTGAAGAATAGGTTTTACTAATTTTGCCCTAATACTTGCAAATATAAACAGTTAACTTTGCCCAAGACACATTAATACTATTCATTGTCACATTATAGGTGAAGGAGTCACTGGAGATTCAAGTGCAGAGTGCTGGATATGCTATGACACTGAGCGCATAGATGCAGGACCTCTCATCCAACCATGTGACTGCCGAGGTGATGTTGGCGCCGTGCACCATCATTGCCTTCGTAAATGGCTCATGGAGGTGGGAAATATTGTAGCTATATATATTGAATTTTTTTGTAATTGCTGTACAGTAAATTTTTGTTTAACACTTAGGCTGTTTCTCACTAGGGTACAGTGCTATCATTCTCTCACATGCAAGATAACCACATAAGAGATCATGGATGTTATGAAAAAGTAGATAATGATGAGGCCAATAGGAAGCTAGAGAGACAGACTGCTGGAATAATATGCAAGAAGGGTAGTGTATGCTTCAATTGCTGGAAACTTTATAAAATTATCTAAGAAACTAAACACAAGATAGGATACCTGGGTTAAGCTTTGCACTTGAAACTGCTAACAAGTAATGACAAATAGGTAATCTATTGGAACGGAAGAACATGAGGGCTAGACATTAGTCTCTGGAGGAGCAAAGAAGAGGGAGTATGGTCATGTGCGAAATGTTCTGGGACATGCACTCAGTGGCCACTTTATTAGGTACACCCTTCTAGTATTGGATAGGCTTCTTCTTTGCCCCTAGAACAGCCTGAATTCTTCATGGCAAGGGTTCAACAAAGTGCTGAAAACATTCTTTAGATATTCTGATTCATGTTGACATGATGGCATCATGCAGTTGCTGGAGGTTTGTCAGCTGCACAGGCAAGACGGATCCATGGATTTGTGTGTGTTGATGCTCTTCTGCATACTACTGTTGCCTTCCTGTCAGCTTGAACAAGTCTGGCTATTCTACTCTGGCTTCTATCATTAACAAGGTGTTTTTGCCCACAGAGCTCCTGCTCACTTGATACTTTGTTTTTCTCACCATTCTCCATAAACTCTAGAGACTGTTGTGCATGAAAATCCCAGAAGATCAGTAGTTTGAGATACGCAGACCACTCCATTTGGCACCAACAATAATTCCACAGTCAGTCACTCAGATTACATTTCTTCACCATTCTGATGTTTGGTCTGAACTATGCCTAAACCTCTTGACCATGTCTGCATACTTTTAGGTATTTAGGTGCTGCCATGTGATTGGCTAATTATCTTTCTTTCAACACACTGGCCATATCCCACCTAGGTGGGGTGGCCCAAAAGGAAAAACGAAAGTTTCTCCTTTTACAATTAGTAATATATACAGGAGAAGGGGTTACTAGCCCCTTGCTCCCAGCATTTTAGTCGCCTCTTACGACACGCATGGCTTACGGAGGAAGAATTCTGTTCCATTTCCCCATGGCGATAAGAGGAAATAAACAAGAACAAGAACTAGAAAGAAAATAGAAGAAAACCCAGAGGGGTATGTATATATATGCTTGTACATGTATGTGTAGTGTGACCTAAGTGTAAGTAGAAGTAGCAAGATGTACCTAAAATCTTGCATGTTTATGAGACAGAAAAAAGGACACCAGCAATCGTACCATCATGTAAAACAATTACAGGCTTTCGTTTTACACTCACTTGGCAGGATGGTAGTACCTCCCTGGGTGATTGCTGTCTACCAATCTACTACCTGAAAAGACTACAAATATTTTGAGGTAAATAATGAGTGTACTGTGTGAGTATTTTACTTTTTAATGCTTAGTTCTGTTGCGAACTTAATATATGTTATCTGGCATTTATATGCATTTATAAATGGAAAAAATGGAGTTCTGCTTTCCAACGAAGTCTGCTTTCCGGCAGCCTGGAACCTAACCTGCCGAATAAGTGGGGCCCTACTGTATAGAAAATTATTCCTTTTGTATGCATTCACTCAGAGCATCATTTCTTCTAAAAATGGTGTTACATGAGAATGGGAGTGTTCCTCTTTATTTATTCTACTGTATCAAAGTAGAGACAATTTGTACACAATGTAACTTGTACACAAACCAGATGTGTTTCCCTGGATTGTTTACATAACTCCACGAGTGTCCTCTCTCATGTACTCATTCTCTCTCTCATTTATTCGTTTTATCTCGTTTACTCACCTCTGACCCTACATTCAGACTGCAAATATTTTATGGTAAGTAATGAGTGAACTGTATATGCATTTTATCGCTCTGTGATGCTTATATGTCATAGAATATTGTGTGTGGTTGGGTTGGCCTGGTATGGTAGCCTGGCTGACTACCATACATACCACACTTGATTTCTTACAATAAATACTACTCGTCTCACCCTAGATAAAGACTACAAGTATTTTAAGGTAAGTAATGAGTGTACTATATGTGTATTTTACTTTTTTATTGTTTTTTAATGCCTAGTTCTATTGCTAACTTAATATATGTTAGTGTAAACTTATCTAGTATTTATATGCATTTATAAGTGGAAAAAAAAAAGGGTGCTTCACTTTACGGTGATTTCCGCTTTATGGCGGTGGCCTGGAACCTAACCTGCTGTATAAGTGGGACTCTACTGTATTTCAAAGTATAGTTGTACAGACCTTTTTCTTCTTTCTTTCTTTCAACACACCGGCCATATCCCACCAAGGCAGGGTGGCCCAAAAAGAAAAACAAAAGTTTCTCTTTTAAATTTAGTAATTTATATAGGAGAAGGGGCTACTAGCCCCTTGCTCCCGGCATTTTAGTCGCCTCTGTTCCACTTTCCCATGGAGAGAAGAGGAAATAAACAAGAACAAGAACTAGAAAGAAAATAGAAGAATACCCAGAGGGGTGGGTGTGTGTATACATGTATATATGCTTGTACATGTATGTGTAGTGTGACCTAAGTGCAAGTAGAAGTAGCAAGACATACCTGAAATCTTGCATGTTTATGAGACAGACAAAAGACACCAGCAATCCTACCATCATGTAAAACAATTACAGGTTTTCATTGTACACACTTGGCAGGATGGTAGTACCTCCCTGGGCGGTTGCTGTTTACCAACCTACTACCTAGGACAGACCTTTTTATATGGGCATAAAGCATAATCTGAATGTTGCAACAAGATGAAGGTTTTAGGTAGTGGAAATGTCTAGTCTTAGACTAACCCCCTCTGTTTTGCTTTGACATAGAATAAAGAATTTTACTTAGAATAAGGAATTATGAGATTACAAGATGGTGTAGTGGTGCAAAAGGTACAACTCAGAGTGGAAGTTGGCTATTGAAATGGTTTGGTCATGTAGAGGATGGAGGGAAGATATAGTGGGATAACTGGTAAAGAGTTGGAAGGAGGTACCGTACAAGATTCAGCATGCAATAAGCATGACAATACGTGAAAAAGAATGGTGTTTGGAATTTGGCATTTTCATTCTTTGTTTAAAAAACTAAAAAGTTTTGTATAATTCCATTCTTGAATCATAAAATAACAAGCATTTTTTTATTTTCTTTTTAAACATTAAATTAATGCATGATTATTTTTTCAGTGTGCTGAAAATTCTTCAGAAAATCTATCATGCAAGGTGTGTGGGGCGGTATATCAGTTAGAAAAGGGTCGGGCATGGTGGATTGGTCAGGGCTTCACAGCGCGGCACTGGCTTCAAACTGCCTCTCTGGTGACTGTCATGTGTGGCACAATAGCTGGCACCTGGGCTGTTGTTCAGATGTATGATGATGCCTACATTAGATCGCTGGCTGCTGGAGCAACTCTCTTAATCATATATATCTGTTTAAGGTAAGTAGTATACCTAATATTGAGGATGGACTTGTTGAGCACATTGCTAACATCTTATACCATTTATTTGTGTGTGCCTGGTAACATTTTCTTTCTTGTTAGTATTGCCATTTCGTATCACTTCACAAATTTAGTATTTTTATTGCATTTGAACAAGTCTCCGTGTTTCTGCCCACCTTAGCCAAAATAGAGCAAGTAATCGAGCAGTCATTATGTTGACCTGGAAAGACTGGAAAATGGTAGCAGTATCTCTTATATCAGTACCAGAAGCTCCAGTGTATGTACCATAGGTTTAAGTTTCTTAAAAAATACTTATTATTACTGTAGTTTTATCTTTGATTTTTTTTTTTTTTTCAACAAACCAGCCATATCCCACTAAGGCAGGGTAGCCCAAAAAGAAAAACGAAAGTTTCTCTTTTTAAATTTAGTAATTTATACAGGAGAAGGGGTTACTAGGCCCTTGCTCCTGGCATTTTAGTCGCCTCTTACAACACTCATGGCTTATGGAGGAAGAATTCTGTTCCACTTCCCCATAGAGATAACAGAAAATAAACAAGAACTAGAAAGAAAATAGAAGAAAACCCAGAGGGGTGAGTATATATATGCTTGTACATGTATGTGCAAGACATACCTGAAATCTTGCATGTTTAAGAGACAGAAAAAAGACACCAGCAATCCTACCATCATGTAAAACAAGTACAGGATTTCATTTTACACTCACTTGGCAGGACGGTAGTACCTCCCTGGGCGGTTGCTGTCTACCAATCTACTACCTGCATCTTTGAATATTTATGATAATGGATATGCAAGATAATTGTTCAGTCTTCAAGAATTTTGTGATGCAAATTTTATAAGGTTCATAGACATTGTATAATGTAATTGCCTTGTCGAAGACATTACACAGTATTCATGCCATGTTTAAAAGTTTAAAGTTTATACAAGTGCTCCTCGACTTACAATGGGGTTACATTCTGACGAACCTATTGTAAGTTGAAAATATAAATCTGATACAAATATGATATTCTGAATAAATAAGAAAATAAATAACTGCTGTCACTGAATAAGTAAATAAACAAATAATTACTGTAACTAATTGCTCTTGCACCATTGTAAAGTTGAATCATCATAAATCGAACCATCGTAAGTTGAAGAGCACCTGTAACCTTTCATCGGTATTTATGTTCAGTTATTCATTCAGACCTTCATGTAATTTAAATAATTTTTTTATTCTAGTCCTGAGAAACTAATATAAATTAACATTATCCTTTTCTCCTTTAATACACCTGTCAGTGTTTGCAAAGGTATTGAATATATTTCTGAAGACAGTTATTTTAATTTGTATATACTGAATTTGAATTGCTGTTGAAAACATGAAACTTCTGATTTGACATTTAAAAATCAGGTAAACATTTGTTGATTCCATGGCCATCACCTTCTATGGCCCATCAAAGATGGCCTGGTTGATGGCCTAATCAGTTCTACTACTTCCCAAGATTGGAGATGATAGTTGGTTGAAAATTTAGCCTCTACATCTAAACATTTTAAAGTATTTCTAAATAATAATATTGTCAGATTAGGCCCTTGGTCTGTTTGCACCAGACAAAGAAAGCCAACATGTGAAAGAACTTCATCAGAGCCCTTAAGACAACATAGACAGACTGCTTCCGGGTACCTCATAGTGGAGCAAATAATTGTATATAAAAAGTTAAAGCCTAGGTAGTAGGTTGATAAACAGCAACCGCCCAGGGAGGTACTACCGTCCTGCCAAGTGAGTGTACAATGAAAACCTGTAATTGTTTTACATGATGGTAGGATTGCTGGTGTCTTTTGTCTGTCTCATAAACATGCAAGATTTCAGGTATGTCTTGCTACTTCTACTTGCACTTAGGTCACACTACACATACATGTACAAGCATATATATACACACCCCTCTGGGTATTCTTCTATTTTCTTTCTAGTTCTTGTTCTTGTTTATTTCCTCTTATCTCCATGGGGAAGTGGAACAGAATTCTTCCTCCATAAGCCATGCGTGTTGTAAGAGGCAACTAAAATGCCGGGAGCAAGGGGCTAGTAACCCCTTCTCCCGTATAAATTACTAAATTTAAAAGAGAAACTTTCGTTTTTCTTTTTGGTCCACCCTGCCTTGGTGGGATATGACCGATGTGTTGAAAGAAAGAAGAAAAAGTTAAAGTGAACATAGATTAGAGTAAGGTGATGAGGGTATCAAACAAGTTAGGCAATGAAAAATTGGATACCACATTGGAGGGAGGAAGTATGGAAGTGAATGTGTTCAGATATTTGGGAATAGATGGGTATATGAAGGACGAGGTAAGCCATAAAACTGATGAAGGAAAAAGGGTGGGTGGTATGTTGAGGTATCTGTGGAGACAAAGAACATTATCCATGGAGGCAAAGAAGGGAATGTACGAGAGTATAGTGGTACCAACACTTACATGGGTGTGAAGCATGAGTTGTAAATGCTGCAGCAAGGAGGAGGCTGGAGGCAGTGGAGATGTCATGTCTAAGGGCAATGCGTGGTGTAAATATTATGCAGAAAATTCGTAGTGTGGAAATTAGGAGGAGGTGTGGAGTTACTAAAAGGGGGTTGAAGAGGGGTTGTTGAGGTGGATTCATCATTTAGAGAGGATGGAGCAAAATAAGAGGACTTGGAATGGTGGGTAGGGGTTGTCCTAGCAAAGGATGAAGGGAGAAGGGGGGGGGGGTAAAAGAGGTTTTCTGTGCAAGGGACTTGGACATACAGCAGGTATTTGTGAGCATGTTAGATAGGAGTGAATGGAGACGAGCTTTTGGAATGTGAGCAGGGTAATATTTTTTGAAGCGATTTAGGGAAATCGGTTAGCTGGGTTTGAGTCCTGGTGGTGGGAAGTACAATGCTTGCACTTTAAAGGAGGAGTTTGGGATATTGGCCGCTTGGAGTGACATCTGAACTGTTGTATCTGGGCACCTCTGCAAAGACAATAATTATGTGATGGTGGAAGTGTTGATTGATGGTGAAAGTGTTTCTTTTCTTGGGTCACCCTGCCTTGGTGGAAGATGGCCGACGTGTTAAAAAAAATAATTATTTCATTTTCTGGTCCTTGGAAGTGGGTCAACTACATCCATCACCAGCTTGCACTACCTAGTGCTGAAATAGGCTCAAGGGGAACAGCCTTTAACCCTTTCAGGGTCCGTCCCGTAGATCTACGGCTTTACGTTCAGGGTCCAAACCGTAGATCTACGTCATGAGCTCAGCTCACTCTGATAAACTGTGAGTGGTACATTTGGGCCTAGATATGAGAGAATACATCTATGTGGTATGTGTGCACCACATAAAACAGATCCTGCAGCACACTGTGTATAATGAGAGAAAAAAAACTGAAATCATGATTTTTCGATTAAAACAGCGACTTTGAAGTGTTTTTTGTATGTTTTTTATAGTTGTATTTGTGATTTCTTGGTCTCATTTGATAGAATGGAAGACATATTACAGAAATAGAGATGATTTTGATTGGTTTTAGCACTGGAAATGGCTTGAAACTGAGCTCAAAGTAGCAGAAATGTTAAATTTTTGCCGATATTCAAGAGTAAATAAACAACCTCACACGTCTAATACACGCCAGCTGGTGGGTCTAATATGCATTCACAAATATGGTGATGATATTTAGACAATTATTACAGTATTGCATAACAGTAAATCTTCTATTTTTTGGTGTGAATAAAAATTCATTATGTGAATAAAAAATAAAAATGGAATTTATTTGTAAAGCCTCAGAACGTAACTAATAAACAGAGGAAATGTTAGTTTAGTTCCAGGAATACCTACATTGTTTATTCTGGACCCTATTTTGAAATTGGAATATTTTGAACTTTGTGTTAAATTGGCCAAATTAACAATTTCCGATCACTTTATTTTGTAGTTGAAACAGTTGACTTGGCGATTTCTTGTGCTCAATCAATAGAATAGAAGTAATACTAGTGAAATAGCTAAGAATTTGGTTGACTGGAATAATGTAATTGGCCTAAAATGGGAGTCAAAGTCGGCAAAATCGCCGATTCATAAATATCGCTGACACATCAAAATTCGAGAGAGCATAATTTCGCCAATTTTCCATCAAATTTCTTACTTTTTGTTTTATTACCTTCACAAAAAGATTCTCTACCATTTCATAAGAAAAAATAGCAAATTTTTTTTTTTTTAAATTCTTGGACACTGGGGCACCACTTCAGATTTGGGCCTTGGACCCTGAAGGGGTTAAGGTTTCCCTATAATTTGGCAGACATAAGAGGTCTATATACTCTCCAACAGTCTCCCACAACTGAGGCCACAAGAAATGTCTGGAAACCCTTGGCATGGGCCAGTAGGCCTGCTGCAGTGCTCCTTTTTTATGCTGTTAAACAAAAAAACATGGTTTCTATAAGACTTAAGACACTACAATCTGGTGATGAAAACCTTGATTTCCTTTCCTAGGTACAGCAAGTGAAAGCGACTTCTTCATAAGAATTCCTTTCCTAAAATAGAAACACTTATTTAACCCTTTCAGGGTTTCGGATGTACTAGTACGGCTTACGTACCAGGGTTTTTGACGTACTAGTATGCCTAAATTCTAGCGCCCTCAGATCTAGTGAGAGAAAGCTGGTAGGCCTACATATGAAAGAATGGGTCTATGTGGTCAGTGCGTGCAGTATAAAAAAAATCCTGCAGCACACAGTGCATAATGAGAAAAAAAAAAACTTTTTGTTTTTGGATTAAAACAGTGACTTTGCACTGTATTTTTGTATGGTATTTATTGTTGTATTCTAGTTTTTCTGGTCTCATTTTATAGAATGGAAGACATATTACAGAAATTGAGATGATTTTGACTGCTTTTACAATGAAAAATACCTTGAAATTGTGCTCAAAGTAGCAGAAATGTTCGATTTTTACCAAAGTTCAAAAGTAAACAAATCATGCTACGCGTCCAATACACCTCAACTGGTGAGTCTAATATTCTTTCACAAGTGTGCTGATATTATTTATACCATTTCAACACTAATGCAGTAATCTGCATAACAGTAAATCTTCTATTTTTTGTGAGAATAAAAATTCAAAGTGGAAAGCAAAAGAAATGTAAGAGGGGCGTGGGGACGTGACTAATGAACAGAGGAAATGTTATTTTAGTGCCAGGAATGTCTTTCTTGTTTATTCTGGACCCTATTCGGAAATTGGCATCTTTTGAAGTTTGTGTGAAATTGGCAAAATTGCTAAATTCTGACCACTTTATTGGATAGTTGAAATCGGTAAATGGGTGGTTTCTTGTACTCATTCGATAGAAAAAATGGAGTTCTAGCAAAATAGTTATGATTTTTGTTGACTAGTACACTGGAATTGGCCGAAAACAGGGCTCAAAGTGGGCAAAATTGCCGATGCGTAAACATCATCGAGACCGCTAACTTCGCGAGAGCATAATTCCGTAAGTTTTCCATCAAATTTCATACTTTTGGTGTCATTATGATCGGGAAAAGATTCTCTATCTTTTCATAAGATTTTTTTTTTTTTTTTTTTTTTTTAAATTTGGCGACCCTGAGAACAAGTCTCGGAGAGGGCCTGGCGACCCTGAAAGGGTTAAATGTAAAGATCCATCATCAGTCACAGCTGAGGCTCTAATCAACTTAAGGGTGTCATCACTCTTCTGTGCAGCAATTAATTTTACACTAGTAGGTAGGGTCTCCCTTATACTCCTTCCCTGACTCATGCTCCAGTCAGGCTTGACCCTGGCTGGGATATCCTTGTCCTCAGTTGACTGCAGTACATCATCAGAAATAAACCTTAAATCTTCACCTTTCTTGTGAGAAATGTCATGAGTACTTTTGGTAGCATTTTCATGAGCCATACTTGTCACATCACCTACAGGGTAAAGATCCAGCAGTTTCCCTTATCTTCTCTTCCCAAACCTTGGGATCTGGCTCCTCCCGCACTACTTGTTCTTCATTATCTAACAGGCCCATGGCATTATTTCTTAATAAGGGGTTGGCCCCTTTCAAAGGGAATTTCATCTGAAATACCTACAGGGAGGTAACCAGTTTGGTATATGGATTCTATCCACAATTTGTGTATCTACCCCTGTATAAGTATCCTCAGACACTGAACGACAGGGTTCTGGAGCGTAACAGGGTGTAGGTGCCACTTCCATCTCTAAAGGATGGTACATTCTTTACCCTGCCCACATCAAAGAAACTGTAGACCTACTAGAAAATACTCATATTCTTGGGTCTAGACTACTTGAATGCTCCTCCTCACCTTGCTTTGAAGACCTAATGCAGACAACTAGATGTGTTTCAGCAGCTATGGTCACCTGAGTGTGTTCCTTCCCTGCTTGATCCCACATTCTAAATCAGCAAGACCTTTGTAAGTGTCCCATTCACTTGAAGTAGAAACAGTATTGAGCCTTAAAGGTGCTCTTACCATTTGGTATAGGACTGGCACTGCTTCTCTGAGTAACTGAAAATTGGATTTACCATTGCCTTCTACTTGAGATAGCACCTCAGCCTTTGTTTGTCCCTGAAAATTTGGGCCACATTTACCTTTTGTTTTTTTTTAACACACTGGCCATCTTCCACCAAGGTAGCGTGACCCAAAAAGGAAACACTTTCACCATAATTCACTCCATCACTGTCTTGCCAGAGGCATGCAGACACTACAGTTCAAATGCCCCACCAAATTGCAAGTATCCCCACCCCCTCCTTCAGAGTGCAGGCACTGTACTTCTTACCTGGAGGAAGGTATTTCAAAAAGAGAATGATTATTTTTACCTTTTGTCAGTTATGAATTTCCCACCCATTTCCAGAGCTGCAGTAAAATTATCTTGATCCTTGTCCTCAGAAGAGCTTCTGAGGTCAGCAGGGATTACATTGTACAGATTCTCGAGGAGGAGGAGATCCACTATTTTCTCAACATCCCGATTTCCCTTCTTGGAATTGTACTATTTAAAGAGAGAGAGAGTGTGTGTGTGTGTACTCACCTATTTGTGGTTGCTCCTAGCCCTGCCTCTTCACTGATTGCTACTAGGTCCTCTCTCTCTCCCTGCTCCATGAGCTTTATCAAACCTTGTCTTAAAACTATGTATGGTTCCCGCCTCCACTACGTCACTTTCTAGGCTATTCCACTGCCTGACAACTCTGTGAAGAAATACTTCCTAACATCCCTTTAACTCATGGGAGTCTTCAACTTCCAATTGTGACCCCTTGTTTCTGTGTCCCATCTCTGGAACATCCTGTCTTTGTCCACCCTGTGTATTCCGAGCAGTATTTTATATGTCATTATCATGTCTTCCCTGACCCTCCTGTCCTCCAGTGTTGTCAGGCCAATTTCTCTTAACCTTTCTTCGTAGGACAATCCCCTTAGCTCTGGGACTAATCTTGTTGCAAACCTTTGCACTTTCTCTAATTTCTTGATGTGCTTGACGTACATGCGATGTGTGTGTGTGAATTTCCTTTTTACAAAATCAATTAAGGAATGTCCATCCTGAAATTTTGAACATCTGAATTTTTGAAAAATTTACACACATGTGCAACATCTGGGTATCTTTATTGTAGACATTTTGCCAACCAGTGGCTTTATCAATACAAGTTCTGGGACGTAATTTGAAGACAGTAGAACTATATACAAAAGATGAGATAATAAGTCCCTCAGCCTTGGAGGTTCTGTGAAGAGCACCGTAGTCATGAAGATTCTGGACCACAGGCAAGAAGGCTGGTTGAAGATTGAGACACTTATGCAACATATGGGAATCTTTATTGAAGAAATGTTTTGCCACACAGTGGCTTCATCAGTCCAGTACAAAGCAGAAAAGTGCAAGGAGAGGAGTTTGAGGCAATCAGTCCCTCAGCCTGGAGTTGATGTGTTCAGTCCATCACTCTTGTAGATTGAGGGACTGATTACCTCATCTTTTGTATACTTTTTAGTTCTACTGTCTTCAAATTACATCCCAGAATTTGTATTGATTAAGCCACTGGTTGGCAAAACGTCTACAATAAAGATACCCAGATGTTGCACATGTCTAAATTTTTCAACTTGTTGGTATTGTATACCGTTCGTGTACAATCTGAATTTTTGTCTGTATTTCTCGGGTAGAGTTTGGTATGGATTGATCCCTGAAGAATTGTGTTCATCACTTCTAACCACCTTTGACACTTTTGTGTTCAATACCACTCATAAGACCCATAATGCCTAGGCATAATAGAGGCTTTCTTTGCATTGCAACCCACTATTGTAAATATAACATCTCAATGTACTGTTTGCAAAGACATAAAATAAATAAAATTAAATTGATGACTCTGTCATTTATCCAGGTCTGAAGCTTCTCTCCTTTATTGGTGTTGTAATTTATTATGAAAGTTTAATAGTTGTCAAAGGCCTTCCATAAGTTAGCAGTGTTAAGTATTCATTGTTGTCAACCATACAGTGCCTAGCATTTTAATCATGGCATTAGTTGTGTATTCTTTCTTTAAAATTGTGTATGCTTTTGGTGATGTATAATTGCGGTTAGTAAAATTTTAATTTTGTTATTAGTATTGGTAGATTTTTTTCTTTTAGTTGGTAATGTTTGTAGAATCATTGCTTTTGTGGGCTGTGGCAACACTGGCTCTTTTATCATGATGCCATAAAAGGTGCAGGATTTCAATGATTTGTTCAAATTTATTACTGTATCCGATGATAGCATTTGTGCAGTTTCATTAAACCAGTGTAAGGGTAAAATTGACATGTTGAAAAGTCTGTTGATATTCTCATGTATTTATGACTGGGCATTGTTTGTGACAGTCTAGAAAGTTGTATACTCTTACTTTGAGAGATGGCCCATAGACTAGTTGCTACAACATGAAATTATTATGCTTTTATAGTCATTCTATTATATTTTGAGTTAAGTGTTTCATGCTTCTTGTAAGAAAAATGTAGATAATCTTCACTGTTACAGGTTTTTGGGCTTCAATACATTCAGTGCATATCAGCGAGCAAGATACTCGGCTGTCAAAATCCTTGGACGGCATTTTGCCCAGCGTGACCACAGCAGCACGTCAGGGGAATCCACAATACCAGGAGTGGCAGCAAGTGTTGCGACTATCAGTTCTGAAGTATCCGTTGATATGAATGCTACTGGTGTCCCCAAATTACCAGAGGCCACCATCTAAACTTATTAGTTGGTGTCAAAATAGTGATAAAGAATTCCATAAAATAAGAGAAACAGTACATACCAGTAGAGTACTGTACGTGTGATGAATAGTTAACAGACACGATAAAAATACTTGAGATCTTTCTGCTTTAAGAAAATATGTGAATGCTGGCATTCTCTAGTGATACAAAGAATATATCTATAATATAGTGGGTAGTTTTCTTATGTATGGTAAGATGTTAGACTAGGTGAAGGAACTCATCAAAAAAGGTTACACCCCAAACTACAATGGTAAAGGCATAAAGACAGTAGTTTGTGGTGCTAATTAATAGTACCATACTGGGTAATTGCCTCCTTTTTACTTTTAGTGATGCAGTCAATATGATGCTGATTTGGTTTATGTAGCTACAAGAAGGTTGCACCAGTTAGAATTATCTCATTAGAGAGAAAATATGTGATACTTGTAAAAAATTAAATGAATTTTCTTCACTGTCAATAACAGTGTAGTGCTGTGCAGATTTTTTTAATACGCCAAATACTGAAATTGCCATGGCTTTTTTTAATGCAATTACAGTACAGTGGATACTGCTTAATTTAATGTACTGTACACTATATTTAGTTTATGAAGCTCCTTTTTCATGATAAATGTATTTATATCATTCAGTTTTTAATTAAAAAATCTCACCCTGAAGTATACAGTTGCTCTTCTTTAATGCTATATTTGTATAATGCTCACAACACACAATGTATGGCCATCACCAGAATAATTATTTATGCCAGCCAGCATTTGTTGCTCCATTTTTTGCATCACATTTTACACTCATTATAGGGTTTTGTGTTTATCCAGAGATGAATAAAATCTAGTTTGGATTACTGTGAAGGCAAAAATTCTAGAAAATTAGCAAGAAAATAACAGTTCTGGAAATATGTAAAAATGGGTTTATCGATATCACTTTGAGATCTTCAGAAAATAAATGAAGTAATGTAAATCTAACAGAGTTGTTGGAGTAACAGTTTAGACCTGAAAACACTACTGAATTTCTTCTTGAGCTTTCAGTTGGTCACCTGCACCACAAAAGAATTCTCTTCTGGTGGTAGCTGAAAAGCTTAAAAACCATTTTTTTTTTCCCCCAATTTAACAAAAGTAGGCTTTCCAGAAGTGTAGCCAACATTTCCAAAGTTTGGAGTCATCATTTCTCTGCTAGTTTTGAGAATACTAAATTTTTGTAAATAGCCAGTAAGCAACATGTACTTTCAGTGCATAATGTTTACTGTGAAAAGTTATGAAACAATTGTTTTAGTGCCAACAACAGGGAGAATAAGAGGCCACATTCCTAAATTTGAAAAACTTGGCTGAAAGGATCCAGTAAAGCGTTTTTTCACAAATAGTGATCACGACAATAGAAGAAGTGTGTGCTACAGCCACTGGTAATTATATACAAAAGAACATTACAAAATAAATGCTGAAGATGAGAGACTGCATACATAACTGTGCTCTAACTAAAAATACTTAGATATAGGTACAGTACATACATTCTGATGCACATTAAAAGTGTTTCAGTTTTGTCTATTCTGTAAATATTTAAAAGGTTAATTCATTGATGGGCTTTACCTCAATTCCTATGGATGGCTTAGGTAGAGATTGTATAAATTGTTAAGTTACCTGAGACCAGTTAAGAATGTGTATATAAAACCACATGGAATAGATTGCCACATGTAACTGAAAGCAATATATTATAGTTTTTAATTTAAAGTACTGATTAAATACTTCTTTCTCTATATCCTTGACTTAAATTGTTCTGCCATAGTCATTGAAAAGAGCTTTGTCTCAAATCTGTGGTTGTTTGATTTTACGTATATGAATATCTTTCTAACAAATATCATAGAGGAGAATTACAATGCAAAGCCAAGCTTGCATTACCATGTGTTTTCAAAAACAGAAAAGTACTAGAGAAATTTGACCCCCATCTTGAGGATCCAGAGACAGTGCCAAGTTCCTTAACTTTGCAATAAAATTCTTAATGCAAAACATCAAGAAACCAAAGAGAATAGCTAATGAACTGGCTGGCAAGACTAGACATATAATACTGCTGTATTCCCCCTCAGCAACTAAAATATAAAAACAGTTAAATAGGAAGTCTGCCAAGTGAACAATCTCTGCATACCAATGTTCTGTTACCCACTGGAAATAAAACTAATTAGTACCTTTAGGGAAGATGGAAGATCCAACGGATCAGTATCCAAGAAAGGCATCGATGAATACATGAATTTATTTCTTACGAATATTGTGGAACACCAAACTTAGTTAACTTCCTAAGAAATTCTGCATCTATTTAACCAGAAATGCAGGGAAGCATCAGACAAGTTTGTACCTTCCCACAGGAAAACAAACAAGATGCACTGGGAACAGAATACAGTAGCTTCATACAAGTGCAGGAATACATCCTATGGAAGAAAATAAATAGATGAACAGCAAAGTTAGTAAAAACTGTCTTAAAGTAGAGAAAAGTGGAAAGACAATATGAAATGGGCATATCAGCCACAGCAAAAGTGGATTAGTGCTACTTCATAGTGTACCAGAAGGAAAATGGAAGAAAGTGCTCATAAATTATCAGATACTAAACTGAGGAAAGATTAGAGAAAACTTGAGAGAGTAGCAGGGTTATATACTGTATAAGAAATTTGGAAAAAGACTGCATAACATCTTCACAGATTAGCATAGGCCATTACCAGAGAAGTAGAATAGACATAGGCAAACCATACAGAACTATTAGAGATTAATATGATAAGGAAGAATACAAAAAAGGCTCTTGAAGGAACTCTATAGATCATAAGCAAGAGAGTCTAATGAGCTGGATGTAGAATTACAACTGCCAACTGTAATGAAGACAGTATTTCACTATGTGTAGAGCTGCATCATGTCAGGCACCTGACAAAATCCTGCCTCATACTGAGAGCAGCTGAAACATTCCACAATTGCCTCTCAAAATTTCAGCAAATTAGTAAAGATGAGAAAATTATCTGCAAGATCGCAGGAACATGGTAAACATTATTAAACCATTTTTACATAAATCCTAGATAAAAACAATTAAATGAGAAATCTTTCGTTCTTTCAACACACTGGCTGTATCCCACTGAGGCGGGGTGGCCCAAAAGGAAAAACAAAAGTTTCTCCTTTTACATTTAGTAATATATACAGGAGAAGGGGTTACTAGCCCCTTGCTCCCTAAATGAGAAATACCATTAAATATTTATTCATTTTCAGTTTAACAATTTCCTATTAGCAGGTGGCAGCAACTTGAATCCAGATTTTCTTAGTTTTTGCCTTATAGATTGCCCAACTCTTGCATGTACAGTTACAAGTCTTCTTACATAAGTGCTCAGGAGACTGAACCGGTGGAAGCTGCATAGGGCTTCAAATAAACATATTTTTGTTTGTTTGACTGACTATAGGTATAGACAACTAATAAGGCTTGGAAATTTACTATTCATCAAATTCATTTAACTTCTGATAATGGATAAGAAACCAAAAATTTAGATCACCTCAAAATGTCCACTTTTTCCCCATGAGAATTAGTGAAATAGTTATCTAAATTTTGAACATGCCATATATTTTTTCATCAAAACTGACATAGCAATATAACCTAGTCTTGCTAAAATTTACCGGTGACATACCTGTGATTTTGTTATTTATCTAAACTGTCTTGCAATTTGCATAACAGTATTTCAATTTTCCATGGGAGAAGAAGGAAAAAGGAGTAGCAAATCAGGTGACCCAAAATTTTTAGCAAGCTTTAAGGTCATTTGTCTGAGCATATTTTCATACTTAAGGGCAGTGATTAAAATACTGAATTTGCCAAAATGCTATGCATGTTGGTTTAATTAGTAACTAAGCAACACTATTATAATTTTCTATAAAATTTATTCTGCTGTAATAATAAACTTTGTGTAAATAAATAAAGGAGTTCCCTCTTTTGGTATTTAATACTATAATACTTTAGTAAACAAATAATTAAATATGGAATATTGCAGAACAAAAAGAAATGGGGAAAAAACAGTTGAGTAAATATTAACCTGATAATATGTCTTCCCTCTATAATTTTGTTCATACATTTAGACTCCAGCACTCAGTATAATAATAATTTGGGATTTTGTTATTCTTGAGCACCTGTTTTTTCAAGAAATTAACAATCACTCTCGCCAAGCCATAAGTACAACAACATTGATGAAGAAGAAATACTAAAGTTTATATTCAAGAATGACAGTATGAACATCAGGTTCATAAGCTCTAGAAAAAGAGGTGTGCTATCAATCGAGATTTGAAAGCATGAACAGATTCCCGACTCTTAACAGACACTGGCAATATGTTGAACAATCTAGGATGTACACAATAAAAGGCTCTTTCTGCAAAAGATTTCTTCCCAACAGTACAAGGCTCAGTCACTCTAAATGACTCTGTGGCAATTCTCAGAAATTTTCCCAACCACATGTGAAAGGTACAGGCATATCAGCAAGATACTAGGGTTCAACACTTAATAGCTTTAAATATTTTTTATTATTCACATCTGCCTGATCCCACCAAGGCAGGTGGCCCACGAAAAAGAAAAACTTCACCATCATTACTCCATCACTGTCTTGCCAGAAGGTGCTTACACTACAGTCTTTTAAACTGCAAATTAACAGCCCCTCCTTCAGAGTGTCAGCACTGTACTTTCCCATCTCCAGGCTCAAGCCGCTCCGTTTCCCTGAATCCTTCATAAAGTTACTTTGCTCACACTCCAACAGAACGTCAAGTATTAAAAACCATTTGTCTCCATTCACTCCTATCAAACACGCTCACGAATGCCTGCTGGAAGTCCAAGCCCCTCGCACACAAAACCTCCTTTAACCCCCTCCCCTCCAACCCTTCCTAGGCCGACCCCTAAACCCGCCTTCCTTCCACTACAGACTGATACACTCTTGAAGTCATTCTGTTTCGCTCCATTCTCTCTACATGTCCGAACCACCTCAACAACCCTTCCTCAGCCCTCTGGACAACAGTTTTGGTAATCCCGCACCTCCTCCTAACTTCCAACTACGAATTCTCTGCATTATATTCACACCACACATTGCCCTCAGACATGACATCTCCACTGCCTCCAGCCTTCTCCTCGCTGCAACATTCATCACCCACGTTCACACCCATATAAGAGCGTTGGTAAAAACTATACTCTCATACATTCCCCTCTTTGCCTCCAAGGACAAAGTTCTTTGTCTCCACAGACTCCTAAGTGCACCACTCACTCTTTTTCCCTCATCAATTCTATGATTCACCTCATCTTTCATAGACCCATCTGCTGACACGTCCAACTCCCAAATATCTGAATACGTTCACCTCCTCCATACTCTCTCCCTCCAATCTGATATTCAATCTTTCATCACCTAATCTTTTTGTTATCCTCATAACCTTACTCTTTCCTGTATTCACCTTAATTTTTCTTCTTTTGCACACCCTACCAAATTCATCCACCAATCTCTGCAACTTCTCTTCAGAATCTCCCAAGAGCACAGTGTCATCAGCAAAGAGCAGCTGTGACAACTCCCACTTTGTGTGTGATTCTTTATCTTTTAACTCCACGCCTCTTGCCAAGACCCTCGCATTTACTTCTCTTACAACCCCATCTATAAATATATTAAACAACCACGGTGACATCACACATCCTTGTCTAAGGCCTACTTTTACTGGGAAAAAATTTCCCTCTTTCCTACATACTCTAACTTGAGCCTCACTATCCTCGTAAAAACTCTTCACTGCTTTCAGTAACCTACCTCCTACACCATACACTTGCAACATCTGCCACATTGCCCCCCCATCCACCCTGTCATACGCCTTTTCCAAATCCATAAATGCCACAAAGACCTCTTTAGCCTTACTAAATACTGTTCACTTATATGTTTCACTGTAAACACCTGGTCCACACACCCCCTACCTTTCCTAAAGCCTCCTTGTTCATCTGCTATCCTATTCTCCGTCTTACTCTTAATTCTTTCAATTATAACTCTACCATACACTTTACCAGGTACACTCAACAGACTTATCCCCTATAATTTTTGCACTCTCTTTATTCCCCTTTGCCTTTAACAAAGGAACTATGCATGCTCTCTGCCAATCCCTAGGTACCTTACCTTCTTCCATACATTTATTAAATAATTGCACCAACCACTCCAAAACTATATCCCCACCTGCTTTTTTAACATTTCTATCTTTATCCCATCAATCCCGGCTGCCTTACCCCCTTTCATTTTACCTACTGCCTCACGAACTTCCCCCACACTCACAACTGGCTCTTCCTCACTCCTACAAGATGTTATTCCTCCTTGCCCTATACACGAAATCACAGCTTCCCTATCTTCATCAACATTTAACAATTCCTCAAAATATTCCTTCCATCTTCCCAATACCTCTAACTCTCCATTTAATAACTCTCCTCTCCTATTTTTAACTGACAAATCCATTTGTTCTCTAGGCTTTCTTAACTTGTTAATCTCACTCCAAAACTTTTTCTTATTTTCAACAAATTTGTTGATAACATCTCACCCACTCTCTTCATTTGCTCTCTTTTTACATTGCTTCACCACTCTCTTAACTTCTCTCTTTTTCTCCATATACTCTTCCCTCCTTGCATCACTTCTACTTTGTAAAAACTTCTCATATGCTAACTTTTTCTCCCTTACTACTCTCTTTACATCATCATTCCACCAATCGCTCCTCTTCCCTCCTGCACCCACTTTCCTGTAACCACAAACTTCTGCTGAACACTCTAACACTACATTTTTAAACCTACCCCATACCTCTTCGACCCCATTGCCTATGCTCTCATTAGCCCATCTATCCTCCAATAGCTGTTTATATCTTACCCTAACTGCCTCCTCTTTTAGTTTATAAACCTTATAGCTTTAAATATGTAGTTTAAATTCAATTCTTGCCTAGGAAGCCAATGCAGCCCAACTGGTAGCAAAAATACTAGTCTAGCTGCATGATTCAGTTAAGACTGAAGTCATTTTAGCAAGTAGAGCAGTGCTGTGTAAGCCTTAAACTGATTATTGTAATAATAATTTAGTAAGTATTTAGACAAATCCACAAACAAAATTGTTAGTTCAAGAGGAAACAAACCCATGGGTAAAGAGTAAGATGCCATGCTTATCAAGATATTTTCTGACTGCATAAAGATTAGGAATATGTAAAATTACAAGAATTAATGATTTGATTGGCATATCCAACAAATGATGAAGAATGCAGGTAGACACCCAAAACCATCACTGACCCCACAGGCTACAAAGTGACACCAGTTACAACAAAAGGACCAAGATCTCTAATCTGTACTTCCCAAAGGTTTCCACTGACAATCAAAATCTGACTTACCCTCCAGTAAAAGATTACTAAAGCAGAGATTTTCATCTTCCATATTTAGAGCTTGAATGTAGACTTCCGTATTATCAGTATTAAATCAAAGTCAATCCCATTGGCATGCGACAGTAAGGCTAAGCCACTATCATTCAGTAAATAATACTAGTCCAAGAGCAGAGTCCAGAGGAATGTCATAGGGCAAAGGAGATGGCTCAGATACAGATTCATTGACCAATTTTCGTTATAGCGCTGCATGACCCATTTGGGTTTAGCACTTTATTATACTACTACTACTTGATATAACTGACCAGAAATATATGATTTTAGTAGCAACAATGCATTATCCCTAAGGCCATAGCCAAAACAAATCACTTTTCAGCAGTCTATAATAATGGTATTAAATTGAACAGAGGGAGCCAACAAAATTAACAGCGACACTTTTTCCCAAACAAGCGCTCAGTACCAAATCATTAAAATTCAACAAAGCCATCTTATTTGAATGAAATGGTCTATGTTCAGACTTCATATACAGTAAAACGTTGCTCCAGAAAAATGAAACGAGTGATCAAAAATAGCATGTACAATCAATTTAGAAAAACATAAGATTAGAAACAGGACAGTAGTTTGACATGTTTGCTAAATCATGAGGCTTGTGAGGAGTGGGTAAACCAAAATATCCCTTTCACTGACTGAAAAACATCTGCTCGAAAACAATGATCAACATGGCTATAAAAGGAACCGCTTTTGCATATACTAGCAAATCTCTGAAACATTAATAGGCTCTAATGCACAAAATGTTATATTAGAACTCTTGAAATACCCCAAAAAATCCTCCTTGCCATCTGGAGAAAACTGAGAGAAGATAATCTGATGCATTACAAGTTGGAACAATCACAGACAACTCTAATTTTGACCCAAATAACTGGAGAAGACTGAAGCCAACTGAAAAAACAGAATCAGAGGTAGGCAAAGCAGGTTCAGATACATGACCAAGCAGGACATTATTCAAGCAGATGTTATCAACAAATTTTGTTGAAAATAAGAAAAAGTTTTGGAGTGAGATTAACAAGTTAAGAAAGCCTAGAGAACAAATGGATTTGTCAGTTAAAAATAGGAGAGGAGAGTTATTAAATGGAGAGTTAGAGGTATTGGGAAGATGGAGGGAATATTTTGAGGAATTGTTAAATGTTGATGAAGATAGGGAAGCTGTGATTTCGTGTATAGGGCAAGGAGGAATAACATCTTGTAGGAGTGAGGAAGAGCCAATTGTGAGTGTGGGGGAAGTTCGTGAGGCAGTAGGTAAAATGAAAGGGGGTAAGGCAGCTGGGATTGATGGGATAAAGATAGAAATGTTAAAAGCAGGTGGGGATATAGTTTTGGAGTGGTTGGTGCAATTATTTAATAAATGTATGGAAGAGGGTAAGGTACCTAGGGATTGGCAGTAGAGCATGCAAGTTCCTTTTGTATAAAGGCAAAGGGGATAAAAGAGAGTGCAAAAATTATAGGGGGATAAGTCTGCTGAGTATACCTGGTAAAGTGTATGGTAGAGATTATTATTGAAAGAATTAAGAGTAAGACGGAGAATA